CCAGCCTGCTCCTGTCGCCCCTCAGTCGGGTCAGTGGGACTGAAGTATGGGAGTCTCTGCTGCTTTGTGAGAAGCCAGAATCTGGGGTGAGCCATGGCCCAGTGAGCACTCTACTGCCATGGCTGGAGCCATCTTCCACCTGCTGACGGACAGCACGCTGACCCGGGGCTCTGGGGGCCTGTTCTGAGCACAAGGACTTGAGTGTGGTCAGCAGAGCCCCACTCACCTGATGTTCTCTGCCAGCTTGATTGGTGGCATTTCCCCCAGTCTAAGGCACTGGAGAGATTCTTCCAGAACTCTCTTTTCTATCTTGGAAAAGGGCAAAAAAACAGAAGCAACCGGGGTTTCAAAAGAAGCCAGGAAAACCTCCGTTCCACTCTCCTCAAGAGTAATGGAAGAGAAACAGAGAGAGGAAAGCTCCTCGCACCCCCAACATTCAGACCATGTCCCAAGTCCTTGTCACAGGAGAGGAGCACAATCAATTGTGACAGTCAGTCCCCATTGCACACAATCCCTCCTTGTCCTATCCTGCTGTGCGCTCTAGGCACATCCTGGAGATGGGCGCTTGGGAAGTCACTCAGTTCATTTCTTAGATCACTTATCCCACACAGCTCAGCACCCCAGATGCCCGCTCATGCCTGCCTCTCTCCACCTGCACTCGTGTGGAGGACAGAGCACCCCTCACGATGGGGGTCACTCCCAGACTCTCCAACACACATGGCTGGTGGAGACCAATGGCCAGAAAATCAGAAACGGAATTTCAACTCATGCCTGTTTTCTTCTTTTCCACCTAAGAGAGCCAGGACGTCCCAGCAGCTCGGGGAAGAATGGGACGAGTGGAGAGACGGGAGAACGAGGTACAAGTTCCTATTTATGATGCTCTAATTCTGAGTTGTCAAGTATTTAACAATAACTATTAAGTGTTTGCCATGGGCAAGTCCTCCATGCTGATTATAATCTTACAATAAAGGCAGCACAGTTCTTACTCTCCAGAGGGGGGATTCTGCAGGGATTGGCAGGCTTTGCAGAGGGCTGGGTAGGAAATATCCTCAACTCCGCAGGCCATACGGATCTGTCAGCACTACTCAACTTCCCCTTGTAGCGAAAAGAAGCTGTAGATGCTCCATAAATAAGCGTGGTGTGTTCCAGTGACGCCATATGTGTGAAAAGTGAAATGGGTATTTCCCATGGTTTCCATGTATTGTGGAATATTATTTGTGACCATTTAAACATGCAAACCATGGCCAAGCACCATGGCTCATACCTGTAATCCCAACACTTTGGGAGGCCCAGGTAGGAGAATCGCTTGAACCTAGGAGTTCCAGACCACCCTGGGCAACATATTGAGACTTTGTCTATACAAATAAAAAAAATTAGCCGGACATGGTGGCACATGCCTGTAGTCCCAGCTACTCGGGGGCTGAGATGGGAGGATCGCTTGAGCCTGGGAGGTTGAGGCTGCCATAAGCCATGATCTCATGACAGCACCTAGCCTGGGTAACAGAGCGGGTGACCCTGTCACAAACAAACAAAAACAAATGTGAGCCGTGTTTGTTTAGCTTGTGGGAGGGAGGCTAAATATGGCCTATGGTTGTAGTTTGCTGAACCTTGAACCTTGCAGTGGATGAGCACTGAGGAGTGAGACTGAGTTTTTGACTTGGTGCATACGGCAGCACTGCATGGAGGAGGTGGCACTAGAACTGGTCCCTGATGGATCCCCGGGATGTAGTCATAGCGGCAAACTTGTGTCATCTTCACTTTGTGCTTTTTTCATGTGCTGACTCACTGAATGCAACATCCCCAGACACTAGACAGTTTGATCACCCCAGTTCCGTAGATGAGGGAACAGAGGCACGAGGCTCACTAGCTTGTCTGATGTCCTGTGTGCATATGTGGTGGAGACAGAATGGAGACCTGGCATTTAACCTCAGAGTCCGCACTTGGAACTACGACTCTTTGGGATGGGTGGGGGTGCAAGGAAGCAGCCAGGTCTCTGTGGATGATGAACTGCTGGTGGGATGGATGGGTTGGGGCTGGGGTTGGGCAGGAGAGGGCAATGAATGCTTCGATGCAGGCTTTATTTTATGTTCACTCCAGGGAGGGGCTTTTTAGAGGATGTCACATGACTAGGGTTGAGTGTCAGTTAATCTGCCTGTCTCTGCTCTTTCTGTACGGATTGACAGTATTTCACAGCCAGCATGTTAGACTTAGATGATAGGGTTGTCATTTCTAACATGAACCCTGACACTAACTTAGTAGACAGTAGTCAAAAGGTCTGTTGGGATGTGTGTGTGTCCCTGTGCACACACGTGTGTAACTGGAGTAATTGACTTTATTTATTTATTTTTGAGACAGGGTCTCACTCTGTTTCCCAGGCTGCAGTGCAGTGGTTTGATCACGGCTCACTGCAGCCTCAACCTCCTGGGCTCAAGTGATCCTCCCACCTCAGCCTCCCGAGTAGCTGGGACTACAGTTGTGCGCCACCGCGACTGGCTAATTTTTGTATTTTTTGCAGACGTGAGGTGTTGCCATGTTGCCTAGGCTGATCTTGAATTCCTGGACTCAAGCAGTCTGCCCACCTTGGCCTCCCAAAGTGCTAGGATTACAGGCGTGAGTCACTGAGCTGGGCTGGAGTAATTGAATTTTATTTTCTTATTTTTATGATTTTTTTTTTTTTTTTAAGAGTTAGGGTATTGCTATGTTGGCTGGGTTGGTCTTGAACTCTTGGCCTCAGGCAGGCCTCCTGCCGCAGTCTCTGAAGGTGCTAGGAGACCACCACACCCAGATGGAGTAATTGAATTTTAACCTCTGGGCATATACTGAACGTGTACACTACTTTGTTTCATTTGTGAGCTCAATTATAGAAAAACCAAAGTTGTTCACAAGGGAATCTTTCACAAACTATCTCTTTGTTTGCTCTTTCTCTGTTTAGGAGCAGATGGAAAAGTTGAAGCAAAAGGCATCAAAGGTGATAAGGTTCAAGAGGATCCCCAGAAAACATGGACCCAAGGGGCTTGCAGGGCCCATGGGAGAGAAAGGCCTCCGAGGAGAGACTGGGCCTCAAGGGCAGAAGGGGATTAAGGGTGACGTGGGTCCCACTGGTCCTGAGGGGCCAAGGGGCGACATTGGGCCTTTGGGCCCAACTGGTTTACCAGGTTCCATGGGGCCTATTGGAAAGCCTGGTCCCAAGGGAGAAGCTGGATCCATGGGGCCCCAGGGCGAGCCAGGAGTCCGGGGAATAAGAGGCTGGAAAGGAGATCGAGGAGAGAAAGGGAAAATGGGTGAGACGCTAGTCTTGCCAAAAAGTGCTTTCACTGTGGGGCTCACAGTGCTGAGCAAGTTTCCTTCTTCAGATGTGCCCATTAAATTTGATAAGATCCCGTATAACAAATTCAACCATTATGATATAGCAACGGGGAAGTTCACGTGCCACATTGCTGGGGTCTATTACTTCACCTACCACATCACTGTTTTCTCCAGGAATGTTCAGGTGTCTTTGGTCAAAAATGGAGTAAAAATACTGCACACCAAAGACGCTTACATGAGCTCTGAGGACCAGGCCTCTGGCGGCATTGTCCTGCAGCTGAAGCTGGGGGATGAGGTGTGGCTGCAGGTGACAGGAGGAGAAAGGTTCAATGGCTTGTTTGCTGATGAGGACGACACAACTTTCACAGGGTTCCTTCTGTTCAGCAGCCCGTGACAGAGGAGAGTTTATAAATCAGCCACACCATCCATCAGAATCAGCTTGGTGACGAACTTATTCAGATGGTTTTACTTTATTAATTCCTCCAATTATTACAATAATCATAAAAAGGTGAAAACGGAAAAGTTATTCCCAAAACTGATACTGTGTAACTTACTGTCTTTCCAGGAGTAAATATTGAAAATAGCTGCATGGTTTATTCTAATTTACTTCACATTTCTTATTCCTATTATCTGAAG